TACTGTTTTTATGTTTGTGGTTAATTGAGTTGGTTGGGTTTAGAGGATGTATCAAATTTGGAAATTTTTCAGTCATTTCTTCAAACGATTTTTCTGCCCCCTCCCTTTCAGGTACTCCAGTTGTTAGCCAGCTTGAAGTTGTCCCACGGCTCACTGATGCTGTGTTGGTTTAAGAAAGTTTTTTTTTTACTCTGTATTTTAAGAGTTTTTATTGCTCTGTCTTCAAATTCACTAATCCTTTCTCCTGCAGTGTCTCCTATGCTGTAAACACATGCATTATGTTGTCATTTCAGACATTGTCGTTTTCTGCTCTAGAGGTTCAATTTCGGTCTTTTTAACATTTTCAAAAATACGTGTCTACATAAGTTTTTGAACATACCAAATACAGTTTTGCTGACTATTTTACTATCCTCCTCAGCTGATTCTAATACCTGCATCAATTCTAGGTTGGTTTTGACTGCTTGATCTTTCTCTTCATTCTGGGTCATATTTTCTGGCTACTTTGCCAGCCGGGTAAGCTTTGACTAGATGCCAGACACAGTGAATTTCACTTTGTTGAGGGCTGGGCATTTTTGTCCTTGTAAGTATTCTTTGTTTTAATTGTACCTGAGGTGACGGTTTACAGAACAAATAGCTTCTCATTATTATGACATTTTTAACAACCCGACGATATGTCAACACTCTCCTTTTTCAAACTTTTTTGTTTTGGTGAAAATATGCGTAGCCAAAGGTACACCATTTCAAAAATGTCTACACGCACAATTCAGTGACATCGATTATTTTCTTCCAGCTGTGCTGCTGTTCTCAGTTTAGATGAAGGTTTACAGAACAAAATAGCTTCTCATTAAACAGTTAGTACACGTTGCCCTATGACAGTGGTTAACAACCCCATGACATGTCAACACTGTCCTTACTCAACCTTGGGTTCCCTATCACCAGCTTTCCTGTCCCCTTCTGCCTTCTAGTCCTTGTCCCTGGACTGCTGTGCCTCATTAGTCCCATTTTGTTTTATGGGGCTGTCCAATTCCCAGCTGAACGGTGAACCTCGGAAGTGACTTCACCGCTGAGCTAAAAGGGTGTCTGGGGGCCATACTCTTGGGGTTTCCTTGTAAGTATCCTTGACCTTTGTTCTAGGATATAGTTAAAGTTACTCGGGAACAGTTGGATTGTTTTGGAGTTTGCTTTTCAGATGTGTTAGGTGGGTTCTCCATCTAGGGCTGATTCTGCCCCACCCTGAGGCCAGCCCCTCCTGAGGGCTCCACCCAGTGGTCTCCCCGGACTCACAGTTCCCTGGGCTTTGCGCCCCCTCCCTGCACCACAGCCACGATTGAGTACAGTCCAGGACCCGTCTTCCCTGGGCTTTGCGCCCCCTCCCTGCACCACAGCCATGATTGAGTACAGTCCAGGACCCGTCTTCCCTGGGCTTTGTGCCCCCTCCTGCACCACGGCCACGATTGGGTACAGTCCAGGACCCCTCTTCCCTGGGCTTT